TTTAGATTTTCTTTATTCCATTGAATTCCGATATGATAAGATCATGGCCATCAAATTTGATTTAGTTGATATGGACATCAAACGAAGTTTTGAAATATTAATATGAAACAGCATTTCAAAGCAATAAATAAAACGTCACGATAATTCAACATTACCATATTATGTTGCCAACACTAAATTCATGATTCATTATCTAATATTTCATCCTCAATGCGATCAGCATGTGTACTGCGTGGACCAAAGATTATTTAAGATACTGTGTACCAGTCTTTGACGTGTCCAATACCTGTCTGTCATGCTTTGTCTCCCGTCTGTATTGGCACCAACCGGTACCAGCTTGTTCAAAGGACACCTCGAGCTAGAAACATGTTTGATATCACGAAACCACTTTTGATATTGATTTGTATATTGATGAGGAAAAATCAAAACTGTGATGTCTTTCCTATAGTGTTAAGCTGAAAGTACTTTTAATAATTTGGTTTATACAACGATTAGGGTGGTCTGATAACATAATATAAAAAGCTTTGTTAGTTTTAAAAACAATTACATAATAAAATCGATCAAGATATTTAGTCAACCTTTCAGTAAAAGAACATGTATTTTTTTTTATATTAGAATTTTATACCATAGATTTAAATATCTCATTTCCTCAATGTGTATGAATGATTATATTGATATACATTTGCAAGTAATAATGTTATTAAGTTGATATTAGTTATAAAACAAAGACAGAATAATTTAAATCAATCCTGACGTCCATTTGTAGAAATACATTAATCATAATTATTCATTTCGTGACTGTTAGTACCTCAAAAAAATATTTTTTGTGTGTGTGTAGAGTAATGCTGTGTAACGTGTCAATTTAATCTACCTTGAGAATGTCTTTTGAATATATTTCGTCAATATATCAACGTCAGATTTTATTTGAACCCGCAGGTGTAAATTATTTCATATTTCATAAAATGTACCCAAACTTGATACTGTGTCAGATTATATTTAATGTATTCTAAAAGTAAATCAGATACCAAGCTGGCCATTGCGAATTAACAAACATTATTGAGTACAATATAATAAATGAATAATAAAGACAGCAAAGTATCTTTTCTTTTCCTCTCCGTTATTCTCAGCCTCATAAAGTCGGTGAATTTTTGTCACTCCATATTGCTACCTATGTTATTCAAATATGAAGTGCCGACTGTAACAAAAACAACAAGAATATGCCAAAAAGTTAACATAATCTAATCCAACACATTTAAGTAAGAATATGGCAAACTATGAACAGAAGAAAGATGTTCACTAAAACTCCTGAACAAATTCAAATGTACATGTATCTATGTATACAACAATGTCTAACTTTATATCGCACAAAGAAAAAAGAATATTTCTCAATGTGACCGCTATGACGACCGTAAAACGTCTACATTCTGTACTTTCAAAACCTTGTGTTAGTAATTTGTAAACGGTTGTAAGAAAATCGTGATCTTGGGAACAGACCTTTGATTATCGAATTAACTGTGACATGTTAACACAATAGACTGGGTATGCATCGATGTTGTTATCCAGGAATGGACAATTCAAACCATGGTCAACTGAATTTTTTACGCCAATCATACAGCTTTGTGGAAAACTGTCCATCTTTGTTTCGTTGTAGGAAAAGATCGAGATAAATGGCTGATCTAGAATAGTCTGCTGTGTCTTTGATTTCCAATGGGTATATACGATAGACGTGGTGAATAAATTTCCTGTTATCTAAAGACAGGACGTCAGCAATATATCTATATCTGAAAGTGAAATTAAGGATTAAGCAAGGTCTTTTCGTTCTCCGTATATTTTCTCTTTGATGTTGACGTATTTTATACAAAAGTTTCAGTATAGTTCACAACCATATATGACAAAAGCATTTGAAAAGACACAATACATCTCTGTCCCATGATAGGTGAACGTGTTGCAATCCTATATTTGCAACGCCGTTCATCTTTCATGGGATAGTTGATTGCAGATGCTGTGTGCCTTTTCAAAAGCATTTAACTGCGTTTTGTAATGCTTGTTAGGTCTATAACCAACACCTACAGCAATTTTCCGATTAGCATCTTCAAGCCGTGTTTGGTTATCTCGTCAAATGTCATTTGTTTCTATCAAAGATATATATCTAGGTCTTAAACTTTCATCTTTCCTCCCCGAAGTACGTTTCATGTAGTTATAAGGTCACACAGGAGAACTTAATGTCTCGATTTAGACTTTGAAATACTAGAGAGGGTGTATACAGACAGAATTACGTCAGCATATATAATTATATAAAAAAAAACTGAAATCGTGCAACTTTACTCAAATTGTTTTCCTCCAGCCTTTACTAGTTCAAAATACATGTAGTTGAAGAAAATATACACAAATTATTGGCACTTCTCAATATTTATATAGACACAAGTATAGTATATCCCAAACAATGATAAACAAAACTGTCACGTAGCAGTTTCCATACTCGTCTGTGATTTAAGGGCTATGCATTTGAAAATGCAGACGAAAAGTTGAGGAAATGAACTTTTATCAAAACAAATCAATAAATTAACAAGACATGATTGAACCACATCTTGATGTTAATTTGATTTATTTTGGACTTTTGATTTCTTTGGCTACTTATCAATACCAAATCGGCCGAGTGGTTTAGGCGTCACTGTCACAGGTCAGTGTTTTTTTCTTCGGGAATTCCTGCTTTTCTCCACCACCCCAACCTTGCACGTCCTATCAATAGGACGCAAGGATTCCATTAACTTTGCTTCGCGTGTTTTATAGATCTTAAGAAGGCAATCCCGAACCCAAACTCAATCCACATTTATAGAAATTCGCCCGATTTATCTATTTGACAAATAAAACTCAGGATATCATGGTCTCTTTATCAAAACCCTGGAAAAGTTGTATACCTTTAAATACAATCTATTATATACAATATCAAGACCTTATCTTGAATAACTGTAATCCTAAACAGCAACAGAACAATAAGTAATATGTAAAATTTTACGTAACAAAAAAATCATACGCAGTAAATATGGTCCGTTTTGAGGTATGTATGTGGATAGGACATTTCTGCCTCCTTACTTGTCACAATAATCTTGTGTAGCTTAAAGTTTTATCAAAATAGACGATACAGAATAGGAATACCCTATATGGAAAATCATATCATATACATACATAAATACATATTTCTTTATTATATATATATATATGAGAGATCTTATAACTGATCAATTATTGTAATTTCTTTTGTTCATTTGATTTTTTGATGTTTGATATCTAAAGACTTATAAGTAAACCAAATATATATTTGACCTTTACAATTACCACTAAGGTGTGTATTGTCTCATTTTTTGGTCTTTTACGATCTCGCGCTTAGATCTTTTACAGTTTGACGCCACATGTTTATAAGACTGAAACAAATGCTCTTCACATGTACTTCGATTTGGTCTATTTTAAAAACCTCTTTGTTTAAATTTGAGTTATTTTTGAGGTACATCCGCTCCAGTTTGCATTCTAAACAGTCATTATTATTAACCTATGAAACTTAGTATTCTAAAAGTTTTAAAAGAACTATAAAAATTATCATTAAATAAGGATTAGATTAATCCAAAAACACACAACAATTTCTTTACAATATAAGTTGTTTAACTAAAAAGGCAGAACATTCACAATTGCGTATGTAGAATTATTAATGGTTATATCAAATGTTACATATTTAGTTAAAGTATAAATTATACATATCAACTTAGATAAGGAGGTGATTTTATATAACATTACATTGAAAAAATCACGAACTATTTACAATACCGCCTTTAGTGTCATTTACCACTAAGTAATTAACTTCCAATTGCCTATTATACGATAATTAGTAGGGGCTTTGTAAGCCTTCAATCACCAGATAAACGTCATTTTGACAACTAAGATCCAAAGCGAGACCTGAGAATTCAAGAGGATTTGTCAGCTTCTTTGGTCAGTTGAGATAAAATTAACTCAATTATGAAATATTGAAAAACATTTAGGAAATTATAAATATTTGTGTTGAAATACTTAATGAATTATCTATTGAAATTTTGAAGAGTGTTGGAATAACTTTTTGTTTTGCGATATTCCGTATTTATAATAAAATGATGTTAGATTTGTTTTTTTCTTTTAGTTAACTATACTTTGACTCAATGGCAACTAACTTTAATGAATTGTCAAGATAAGAATGCGTTGACGAATAGTACGTCCACATACTGTGGATCTAATGTACCGTGTATAAAAGATAGTTGTCATACCTTAGTCGTTTGTTTGTGGTAGTTATAGTATATTTATTGATAATCAAAAATATATTGACTCATATCAGGTTAAAGGGATATAACTCTTAGCAAGCTACCTTTATTTCCATTTGATTTACTTCCCCTGAAAATATTCCATACGTGTATACCGTGAAAAGTTCTTGATTTATCAAGTATAGACAAACATAACTCTGTATCAATTACGAGATTATATTAAGATAGGTGCAAATTGGAAATTAAGTTTGATAGGGACTATTTTATAATAATAAAAAAAGACAAGCGCTTAGGGTTGAATTACTCAGATCCTAATATTTATCCCTCAAATCATCAAATATGGTTTCATTTGTGTGTTGCTGGTACGATTTAAAGTGATAATGTGGATGTAGCAGAAGATGCTTACACTTCCGGAACACCTAGTACTGTTCTCCTTGTTCTTTTATCAGGAGACTTGACAAAAATCTTTCTTTTGTTTAGATTTTGCTCTATCAGTATACCTAATTTGAGTTTGGATTAAGAATATGTTCACATGTGGGTATTTTTTTTTTCTTTTGTTATTTACTGATAATTTTTACTGTATCATGGTTTATGTTTGCTGAAAATGTTCCACCATTGTGATTATATCTTAAATGTTGTATAACATGAACGATTAAGACAATAAGAAGATGAGTATTTTATTTTAAAACAATGTAACAGAAATATGATGATGGCTGCAATACAGATTACTACATTTCGCGGCGAAAGTTACGAGAATTTACGGATCAATCTGTGTAGAGATATCACAGGTTTTGACAAAGTAGTGTCTATCTAACACAACCAGTGGGCAGCAAAGTCATTCATGATATCAAATGGCGACAATCGAAGCTGAAGTAAGAGTAGAAAGTCCGTTTATCCCATCATTGTTGTAAATAAAGCGTAGAATTCTGAAAACATAAAACAAAACACATTAAAATGTTTCGTTCTCATTCTGGACACCAAACCATTTTTCTAAGTATCTGATAACGGAAAATGAAGATGGTTACATTTTGCTGACATTATACAGTATGATAATTCTTGAATAATGAAAGTGTGACCCTACGAGTTCTATAGTTTTCATTAATTTTCTTTGATAGGTATGATTTGATGTGTTGTAGATAATAATTTAAGGAATAATATACTTGAGTGTGAATTAAGACAAAGCGGTAGAGTGGAAACAACAATGTGAAGAGGGATATCATACTAATAACAGATCAGAGTATCGACCCTGTATCATGTCAAGATTAAAATGCTTAGACAAAACTATCATAATTACTTTTTCAAAATATTCAAAGTCCAACCTGCAGTTAACAAATAAAAGTTGAATCAATTCGAACGCGTCAGGACAAAGTATTTGTTAGATGACTCTATATTAATGAATGACTACTAAAAATAGAATAATTTCAAGCCTTGTATAGAAATGTTATTTTATTTATTTAATTAACGACTACTTTACCAAAATGTAAATTCTACATTTGCGATAGATTTGTTGGAATAATAATGATAAGATGTTTACTAAAATCAAGTAAAAATGTAATAAATGCATAATTAAGAAAATAATTACATTAAAAGTGAGTATTTTTCTACGATACATAAACTAAAAAAGCATTAGTATGTGGTCTTTACTGTAGATTTGCTCAAGTCAGTTATTTGAATCAATTTTGTCGATAGGTGGTATCAAACATCACATCTTGAGGTAAGAATAATTGCCCTGAACATTCTGCAAAAATGACGAAGTGACGCCACAGTGAAATGCAACGTTGATCCCAATATGTTTCCATATATCATACACCAAACTGAACGATGCTGTTCATAACTGTGTTCGATGGAGTACTAGATTATAGAAAATATATTGAAACATACCGTTCAGCAATTATTATGATATCACGAGTAATATGTTGTAAAATAAGCCATTTTTTTATGTAGAAAGAATTTAGATGTACGCCACTTCATCCGATACATCATTATCATTTGTTCAAAAAATCCATTTAATGAAATTCTATATAAATACATCAGTGTAAAATAGGTTTACAATATCTATGCTACAGTGAAACCTCCTGTGCTGCCAACATCGATCAAATAAGATTTAAAGGTGACACAATAACGTGAAAAAGGGGATTGAATAAATTGTACAAAAGACACATATGTAACCAAAACATGTAATACAAATTCAAGATTAGCTCCACAAGAATCTCAACATTTTGACGGGAAGGGAATTCTATCTCAGATTTTTTTTTTATACAAATCAGAGATATGTCTTTGTTATGATATATGAAATACTAACAGTTACACCATTTAGACATACCACAACTGTTTATATTACTAATTTATTGACAAAGGGTTTTGCTAACAATGGCTAATCAGTTATTTTGTCTTTTACTGTTATATCTACAGATAAATTTTACAATGCTAATGTTTAACATGCGCATTTACAGGTTATGAAAGCAAACCTTTCGAATGTTAGTTCGATGTAAAACAAATATTGCATCTGTTCTTTTGAATACTAAATCAGTGATCTATTCATTTATTAACTTTTTCGTATCATCAATAATGAGTACAAATGATACTTGAAATTATTGGATATTGATTAAACGGTTAAGAAAAACATTACAGCTATTTTAAGTGTAAGCTAATTCAGATTGTAATGTATATTTGTAATCTTCGAAATGGGAGGAAATTGTTCTGGTATGGTGTGCGCACAGTTACAGGAAGTATGAATAATAATGCCAAATATTGGTATTCAGATTACAAATATTGAAAACTTGTTTTCATAGTTAAGTTCTATTTTATTGAAGAAATTTCAATCATTATTTTTTTTATCTAAAGCATAATGTGCTTTCTTGTCGAAATAAACTGATGATAATTTGCGGAATTCAGAGAAAGCCACTCATCCCCACTTTCCATACACACTTTTGTTTTATCAATATAATACTTTTTTTCAATTCAACCTTCGGTTACTGGCAATACGTGAAGTATACTACTCAATATTCCATCAAACCAACAAAGATACTATACAGCATATAACATAACACACCGATAAGTGAAAAGATATGATTTGAAATTTTGTAAAATTCTTGCAGATAAACATGATACATCGAAAAGCTCTTCAGGACTAAAAGCATTGAAAGTTTTTTTTTTTTTTTTTTTTTACATAGCAATACTTTAAAGAAGATATGCCCTAAATAGCTCTATAGAAAATGTAAAAGTTTTACAATCACGATATCAAGATAAATATGTTCTTACTCGTTAGTAAATTGTCATTCCACACGTGTTATAATTTTTTTAAACTAATAAAATCTATTTTTTCACTCAGAGGAATGAGGAACGGGAGTTTTGATTGGTTGATTTCTAAAAATCCCATTTCGCCACTAGCAAAAAGGCCGCTTGACAGAAAGTTAGTATGTGGGCGACTGAAGTAGGATGGAATTTATCGTATGACACCAACAACTACGAAAAAAAATCATATTTTCGTATGTTCATTGATTTATCTATTTATTTTTGCATGTTTGATGCAAGCCGAATTGTTTTGATGAAGCATCAAAAATATGAAAATATTGAATGCAATGTTTTAATACGTTTTTTTTAATTGATATAAAAACTTTTAGAACCAATTATCAAAATGATTTCTTGATATTTCCTAACATATAGTATTTTGGTGGTAGCGAATATACTTTTACTACTACTCGGAATATTCCGTATACTAATTAATGTTTTCACTCTTTCGTTTATGTTCAACATCGCGTGGAGACATGATCATTAAGAAATGAAATATGGGAGATGAGATACAACAAAAATGACAACAAATATCTTGTAGATCGATGTAAATATTATTGGTTACTTAAATAGCGTTTGTTTCATTTCTTCGTCAATAAAGCGATAAACAAAGTAGTTATTGATATATATATAAGTTTGAATGGTTTTATCTAAAGACGACAGAATGAAAGATAAAAAAAAAATACATGAAATAGAAAAAACATGTGTTTAAAATACGTAACACATGTTGTGACAAAAGCAACGATATATGGTGACAATGTACCACAAGCATGAGTCTCCCTATCATCAGTTGCTGTTCGTGAACAAGGCGTAAAACTCTGGAATAAAGGCACAAGTCATCATTAATAGTAATAACACAGTTACAAATTATATTAGAAGCTATATATAGTAACATGGTATCATATATAACCCATCCAAATCAGTTACATTTAAAACTTTAAACTCTGGGTCAAATATACACATCGGCATATATGGCAGCCAAGAAGCTATACACAGTGTGAAATTAGTTGTAAATATTAATGATTACATGCACAATGGACCTCAACCAAAGCATGTTAGTTAGAGAGTGAATAATACGTCAGTTTCGAGATAGAACAATTGATGTAAAATTACGTGATAGTCCAACCTTCCGGTGATTGTGACGTCATAATTTTTTGAAGAATAGTAGTACCCAGCTCGCGTAATTTTACGCTATTTTCACTATATTGAAACTTCGGTATTGAAAATGACTTTCAGGAATATTATATCTTATCAAATCATTGAAAATGTAAAACGAAGCGGAAAGTACAAATCCAACAATATTTAACAAAATAGTCACTCCGCACGCCGTTTCTAAATACGAAAAATACTTCCTAATAGAAAATAAAGATCAGAAATTCCGGCAAAACTCTATACGGATGGTATAGTTTCCACGATTAAACATATAATTACAAAGAAGGGCAGACATTAGATAAACCCAACACACAATATATAGTATCAGTATCGATCTACGGTATCATTCCAACAATATCCCATTCAATCATTGCTGACTTCCGCAGCTTAAGAAATGTGTGTTTTATTTGATTTGTATCATCAAATTACACTACCCAGCAATAACTCGCAATCGTCGTTTTAAACTTCATTAATTATTTGACGCTAGTTGACTGAACTCTTGATGTTTTTAAAATCAAATTGCAAAGTCTAGCTTTTGTAATTAAGATATCATCACAAGAGAAGATTACTTATTTGAAGCGTCACATTTTAAAATCCAAGGATGTCAACAACGGATACAATTTAGAACATATCAAAGACTCCGAATACACCTTCAGATGGATGTGTCTGGTAAGTGTTGCAAAATAATACTTTGAATTTATCTGCAATTTCTTTAGGTCAGTACAAATGAAAAAGTAGAAACCAAAATACATTATAGAATTCATTTGCTATTAGAAGTCGTCTGTTCGATACCGCTATACAGTATTATGATCAAAACAGAGAAGATTTGACACTTGTGGAAACAAAAACGTAATGCAGTGTGTCACAATAAAACAGTAGATTTTAGCATTACTGTATTCTTTAGGTGAAGAATGCAAGCAGTTCTTATGATTGAAATTCTTGGTTTTCCAAGATGACAAATAAACATTTGTGATGTTTGTTGTAACAATATCCAATTAATATTGCTTTATACAATGCAGTGTTTTTATGATACAAATATGTATTTTAATGTCGAAAAGCCGCCATGAAGAAAAGAAAAGGTACGTACTTTTTTGCGGCATCGATTATATTCAAATTGTACTAACACCAAGTGTATTATATCTAACTACGTTAATTCACAAATGTAAAACACACAGAGTTCAATGAGGACAAGTTCTCTGGCATTACAACTTGTTACACAAATGTTAAACGCAATAGAATTAGGACTACACGATGTATGCTAATGTTCCGGTTGTCATAGAACACCATCGCCGTGTCAAATTCAACGTAGAAAATCATTTAGGAACATGATACAAAATGAACTATATATTTCATACTCAGAAGTAAAGAGATGTTATATCTTAATAAAATCAGATTTACAAATGATTTTGGGAATTTTTGCGCTTGGTAAGTTGAACTTTATGAATTTTAGATTGTGAACACACTGGGAAAATCCTTGTAAAGGGTATGTATTCCTGTTGTAAAATGTTAATATATATTTATATATATATATAGAATTGATCAATCCAAACTCTCAAAAGCTAAAGTCATTTTCAGTACTCCACATACTTCCACAAAATATACCTACCCTCAAAATCGATTTCGCCATCTCCGTCAGTGTCGGCGTCAGCGATAAGCTGCTCAATCTGATCATCAGCCAGGGAAGTTGTAGAGAGAATTTGGCGTAATTCATCTGGATTGATTGCACCACTTCCGTCCGTATCAAATTGAGCGAAAGCAATCTCTAGATCTTCCCTACTCAAATCGTCAGGTCCTAGCTTCGATCGCATCAATACTACGAAGTCTTCAGTTTGAACGATTCCATCTGAAGATACGAACTGTATTATAGTACCTACTATTGTTACGTATTGTCGCCTTTATGTGATGATAGACATTGTTATGAATATTTCATTGTACGGTTCACATTATTTTATCTTTATGAAAATTAGCCAATTGAACAGAATTGCATGAACTATTTTTCATGGCGTTTAGCCGAATTCTTGCTAAGCTTTCTTAAACATATACAAAAACGTAATAGAATCTGGGCTCACATCCTCAAGGTTATGTGTCCAGTACTGACAGTAATCATCCTGTATGGGATTGATATTAACAGAGATATGGTGTCTTATTCGTACTGTACTTTGTTCTGATTTTGCCGTGAGTGGATCTGGCAATGCAAATTGTTTTTGAAGTGTTGAATATGTGATAGATGTCATATGAAGGTATTCCATATCTAACTTTGGAAAATTACTATTATTTGCCGTGGCATCTGGTTTCATAAACAAGACCTTTAATTGTCTTGTGAGATCTGACTCGTCTTACAATCGCAATAATGACTTTAAGACGAGTTTTGATTTCTTAGCGAATGTCCACTGATACAGTTAAGTTCTAACAAGCTCCAGAAAGACATCAAGGTATTAGAGACATTCTGGTCGTATTTTTCTAATAAATCTGTGATACGCTAGATAGTACATTTTACCGTTTTTTTCTCTTGTCAATATTGTAAGATTTTCACGAAGTTCTGATTCGGGTGGATTCATCCCAAGTAAGTTGCAGCACATTCGTAGTTCTTTACAATGCGTCTTTCCTTCTCTGTTTCTCCCAAAACAATCCACCAAGTCACGCAAATCTAAGCAAAACAGCATAAACATATATCAGAGTTAAATTTGTGGCGATGAAATCTTCGTTAGCAAGTTGTATACCAGATCTGAAATAAATTTTCGCCTGCAATATCAGCAATGATCATGTCAAATGAGGTACAGAAAGTAGGGTATATATTAAAAACAAATTATATTTGAAATCCGGAGACTTGACTCTTAATTTAAAAAGAAACTCACAATAGAACGTTTTGCTGCAATACTGATGTGGCGCCCTTTTTTGTTTTTAAACTTTGTTCATATAAGAAACTGCTGGCATCATTTCCGTATCTTAAGCAAGATCAAAGCACTGCCTAAATTATCACCATTATCACTTTTTTGCTTGGCCTGATTTCTTGTGACCACTGGTTTCCATAGTTCCTAGATAATTATTTGGAGCGTTATTATCTATATCTTCAGTACCATTTACAAATACACGAATATCCAACACATACAAACAGTGAATCATATATACATTTCCGCAGCTCAATCTCAATGATTTTTTAAAACCATTTATATTTTGTGGACATCTGATTTCGTAAATCAACAATGCTCAATAAATCTATTTATATTGAATCACTAAAAATACATTTCCACGAAAATGAATGATTTTAAAACAAAAACAAAAGTTGGAAATATTTAAAATACCATCGGAATAACTATCTATCTGATTATGTAAAGAATCACTTAAAATTATTGATAAGATTGTCGGACCTGACGATATATCGTATGACTATACTATTACTCGATGTTTTAACACTGACCATTGTCCGAGTAATGTTCCTGCTTGCTTTCCTGTTCCTTCTGTTGTTCGTGAAAATATCCTCTGTAGGAGTTGCATTGTTGTTTCTGCTGACCTTGTAACATCTGAAAATTAACCAGAGGATACTTCATATGTATAAAATCCTAGTTCGTTATAATGATAGTATAAAAATGGCGGAGTGGAGAAGGAGAGGGGGAGGGGCTCTGGGATAAAGCAGTCATAGTAAGTACGCTTTTTTGGAAGGGTATGCCTCGTGGACTAAGAAACAGCTTTCTTTAAAGAAAATCAATGTCGTAAATTAGTATTTGAGAGTTTGAAGCAAACCTATGCTTTAACCTATAGATTTGTATGTAAAAATAAACATATATACATATATAAAATCAATTGGAAATGTGTTGAGTGATCATTAGGGTTTTATTAACTGGGTTTGTTATTCCTTATTTTATTTCTATTACTTAAGTACTAAATCCTTGACACAAATATTTAATAAAGCAGACAGTTGCAAAAAAGGTGTGTAACAACTGACAAAATGATCAAGAACGGATCCCTATTTTGGACTTTCGGCTTATGACATAGCTATGTATATACACAACTAAAATCGGAAGACTATACATGTATTTATTATCCGGAATTAAAGATTCCGGAACATTGTTTTTTTTTATCTATGTTCGTCCCAACTACTCCACTATAATTGATATCAAGATGATGTCTTGCCGATCGCATTTGTACTGTACTGGTATCCACATAACCAGACGCCTTTCATAAATATTTGTTTGGCGTCAAAATAGTTAAGAAAAGGTCTACAGTTTACCGTTATAAGTTTCGTAAGTGTAAGGTAATACACCTACAAATTGCATAATTAGTTTTAAATGGTATATTTATCTGATTGAATCATTATTTCATTATTCCATATGAAGAGCGGAACGCCTTAGGTACTGGATTCTATTGAATTAAACATCTACAACGATGTTTTATGCAAATTCATTGACTGTCAACATTGCCCTGTAAAAACATGATCGTGACGACGAGGTGGACACGGAGGAACATGTAAAACGTTTTAAATGTCTGAAAGTTCAAAAACAAGATTTTTAATAACAGCAACAGATTAGAGACGGATATTATATATGAAAAATTAAATCCCCATAGCCAGAAAGCCAATATTGATTTAGCCCGTCAGTGTGTAGGAGAACACTTTCTGGTGAGTTTTGAAGACAAGAACCATACCCCCCGGGAAGGTTTAAATTTTATCCTGTCTTACATTGGACAATACTATTCTCAACTATAATCAAACTGTGACCTACAAAATAATACAATAATGTATGTAACTATAAATATTGTTTTATAACCAAATCATCAAAGACTAAGATAAACAGTATCACTTATGTGACTTAATTTTAAGTGCGGAAGAATATACCATTTTATATTGACAAGTTTATAGACTAAGATAAACAGTTTCACTTATGTGACTTAATTTTAAGTGCGGAAGAATATACCATTTTATATTGACAAGTTTATAGACTAAGATAAACAGTATCACTTATGTGACTTAATTTTAAGTGCGGAAGAATATACCATTTTATATTGACAAGTTTATAGACTAAGATAAACAGTATCACTTAAGTGACTTAATTTTAAGTGCTAAGATAAACAGTATCACTTATGTGACTTAATTTTAAGTGCGGAAGAATATACCACTTTATATTGACAAGTCTATATTAGACTGCGTTCCTTCGCGCCTGTGACAGTTAGAGTTTAACATTCCATCTCCTACATTTTATGGTAACTTTCAGTCAGTTTCTTAAAGTTACACGAGAAATTTTCTATTGAAAATATTTCCTTTTTACAAAATTATCGTAAACTTAAAATCTATCATTTGTTTGTTGTAAAATTTGAATGAATGAAATAAATATCTTATGTTTTTATTTTTTGTGTATTAAATATTGTATTGGCCGCTCGAAGAGAATTGTACAGTAAAATCGTGTGATATGTTACTTTGATGTTTAATTGTCTACTTTGATGTTTAATTGTCTACTTTGATGTTTAATTGTCTACTTTGATGTCTACTTTGATGTTTTCAGTCAAGGTTATCACTATTTTCGTGCACTCTATTTTAACTGGAGACCGTTTTGACTTACCTTTATAATATCAATTCATCAATTTTCAATGTCATCAGGATTTGAAAGGACATAGAATAAACAACGAAATTAATAGTTAATTTGGAAATTAATTCTATCTAAGTAACACGATACATATAAAGGTCATGATTTCTATGTCGGTTGCAAAATTTCGTAAAAACGGTTCGAGAAAAGCACAGGGCTACGGTTAGAAGTCACTTTGATGTCACATCCTGAAATATATATCGTATTGAATTAAAGGCCTTGAATGAAACAATTTTTTCCAATACCTACCGGAGTCGAAAATGTGAAGATACCTAAAAACATGATTTGCCCTGGTTTAATTGAATTTGTGTTTAGATTGGGATTGTGTTGACATTTTGGTATGTTGTTTATGTTGACGTGGTCGTTACAAGGCCGGATGTTATAGACTTAAATAAACATTAGTTTTCCACCAATCACTGATACTTAAATTATTCATTTCCATCTTTTTCTTTTAACTAATTACATTTTCATGTTATAAGGTCAATAAATATACATTGCAGATATTGATCTGAGGAAATCAATCAATCAAATATTGAATATTGATCAATCAGTGAGTTTGATGTGAACACTTAACGACCATAAATATTCATGATAATATCATATTGATCATCTGCTTCTGGACAACTTATTTATTCATCAGGTATTTAACAGTGTATATGATTATGAACCTTACAAAATGGTGCTAACTATTTGCGAATATGTAATTATATCCCGAAAAGTAAATAAGTCCCAAATAAATGTAATTAGCAGATTTATAAGTGGTTTTCAATACAGTGTGAGGAATTTTTTCAACAAAATGCCGAGCTCTCATAATAGGGCTTCATATTCTGTAACGACACGAGTTCACGGTGATTTAAGAGTTATTCAAGCATTTAATAACTTAACAATAATGCTATTAATGTATCGTCAAATGGTATATTGTTTGTAGATCACAACCTGTCTATTCAGCCCAACATACTTTATGAATATTTCAATTATTGTAAATAAGACATTGTAAAACCCGTCCTCATGTAATCTTGGCTGCAGAGATAACGTTGATCACAGGGGGAAAAATCATGTATTACTTTTAATCATTCAAACTTCTATCAAGAATTTCCTTTAAAATCAGAATATAATAAGAATGAATTACATATATTTATAAACCTGTTTAAACAGACCAAGACTGATATCGTAACCTGTATAAAATAGAGTAAACCAGACAATAAAAATGTGAACAAGTTATAGGAGACATTGTTTTAAATTGTAAAACTGTACATAACATGGACCGTATGATTAAAAAAATCATCGCATAAGCCAGAAAAGCTTCACAATTCCACATAAGCTCTTTTGTCATTGTCCCTCAGTTATAGAGCTATAATGTGTTCAAAATAACGATTTTATCTTTTAATTAGCAATTCAAATTCAATTTTGTATGTTGACTTTTTTAGACAGAGTGATGATATGAGACGCTGACAATGAATAAGATGTATATATATGGCTCTACAACATTTAAAACATCTTAAATCCCTTGCATTAATGAGACAGAATGTAAAAGTAAAACTATATCGTATAGACGATAATGTACCTTACATCGAACATGACGCAGTTTACCAAAGATCACACACTGTTAGTCTCCTTTCCTGACATCAATAGCCATATCAAAATTCAATTGTCAGGAGTGGCGTGTAATTATGAGCCGACACGATGACGAGATAGCTCGTCGTAATATTATCAATATTTCGATTTTTACATAAAATACAGCGTAAGAAATTTCTGAACAAAATCAATGTTTGTAGCGACCTAGTATATGTTAAAATCAGCCTGTCATTCCCATTACATTAACACCTTGTCTACAACACCTTATGGAAAAGAACATTGTTCTTCTATATTGTGTACCTCTTGTACAAATCTTTATTGATATGGTATTTTGTGTAGCAATATGAGGTGAAATAAACAAGACAATGATCTCCCGTAGACAACCTTAATATAGGGTATATTTATAGAACGTTGACAAAGTAATACCACTTTTTTCTAACTACTCAAAAATGGAGCTACCCAAAGCTTCAGCGGCTGAAGCAGAACAAAACCGCCTTCTTCAATAACACCTTAATAGAAGACAGAATTAAAATTAAACCATGCTTTATATTTTGCGTCCTTTTTACATGATTAAGTATTGAAAATTATGGCATTTTAAAAACGTTGATTAGTGCAGTTTCCCGTCGTGTGATTTTTGTAAGTTCCTGCCGTTTGTACTAACAAACGAAGAGAGACTAATATAAGGTTGATTATATAAGAAAAAAGACAGTTACAGTATAGAATGTTGTGTTATAGCGAGCAAGTTATTAGCACGAGTTTTCCCAAGAAAATCAGCATAATTTGAAAGCATTTGATTACAATTATCAACAATTTATTACTTTATTATAGCTGTGTCCGTAATGAGAGGCTAGAACATGTGTTATAATATTTAAACTATAGTTTCCGAGCTCTTAATACACTCGACCCTGCTTGTAAAACCAGACGTTATATCTACACTTTTCCTTGACAACTTTATGTCCTGGACACAATGGTAATTAACCCTATATAAACCCTATCGACAGAGTCGTATATCTCAATCAATTATCTCCCTGTCCCTAGCAGCGAGAAACACCACCCATTCTCCCGTTATTTACGGTCTGTCAATGGGTTTGTAATGGCGGTCGTCAACCGGCCATCGATGTTATTACAACCGAGGTTCAATATAGATCTCTGTGTGTGAATATTCCGTACATATATCACTAGTTCAGAAGTCGATATAAGAAACAGTAAGCGTGATAGCTTTACTCTGTAGCACCAGTCCAGGTTTTTTTACTTCATGGAAACAGCTTTGAATCAAGGATGATTCTTAATTAATCTTAATGGTTCCGGATTCTGAGGAACTTCCTCTCCCGTTCTCCTGTTTACCATTATTTCTACCCATCCCCGCCCCTTCCGTAAACTGAACACAGTGTTTTACTGAAACCTCTGTAAACCGAACACAATATATATATTCATTACACTTCTGTTTAGACTGGACTTTTCAATACAGTAAACCAAACCCGTATATTAACGGGCGTGTCGTTATATTATTTATATATATATATGTGTGTGTGTGTGTGTGTAAGATGGAAGTTTTATATCAAAACAAAACTTCTTTCCTAGTAAAATCGATACTGATAGTATGTAGCTGTAGGTAAGACGAAACGAGAACTTAATCGAACTGGTTCTATTGATCAAGCGGTCAATGTATTTGTTTATATTGTGAGGGGAAAGACGAACCCGGGGCTTCCGAAGTTCCTAACCACTATGATGTTTTTTTGGATAATGACCTAAAGGAACGACTACCAAATTAATATGACCCAAGTCAGATAAATTTCAAACAACAAAATATTGTGATTTTCAGGCGGAAATCAAGCAAACGAACAAATATTGACGATGAATTGGTATTTCTGTACATCAACAACTATGTGTAGAAGGATTAAAATTGTCGTCCATGTTTACCGAGCTAGGTATTTGACAATGGCAGATATTTACCTGCCATCAAAAGCGACACCTGGGTTTAATAACTTAACTTACCTTGTCTATTATCAACACTCACACCTTGTAGAAAATGAACGACGTCGAAAACAGGTTAAAAATGATTCCCAATGGGCATATTTAAATGCCGCGTCCGATGCGGTACAGCTTGAACCGTCTGTCCTCCGGTCGGCTACCACACTGTCCGTGTATATTTACCTATATTAGTGTAATATCGAAAAGACTAGATTTTACGCACTAACTAGGTCTGCGATAAACATCAACCACCTCGCTCGTTCGGCTTTGTATTCAGTTCGCTTGGTATAGATCCAATGTGTGTTGTGTGGCTTACAATCTATTGTTGGTATACAATGTCTGAAATGGTGCTCGAAATATCCGTGAATGTCTCCTTGCTAGATACTCCTTATCACCAGCATTAGAAATCACTCCTTGCGCAGGCTCGCAATACACAACCCTATGTATAGGTATAGACCATGTCAGCGCTATGTACGGCAAAGATTTGCTTTAAAGTTCTCGCATGTAATTCAATATAAATTAGTCAGCCCATTTTTTCTCTATTTACAAAAGCATTTCTAAAGGTCGATCTACCCAACCTGTGGCTCGAAGGATCTCAATGCCAGTTAAGACATTATACAAATACAAATGACAATGATTTACATGTAAGAGGCACGCGGTTTCTTGGTATTGTTGGTCTCCAAGGGCCTATTAGGAGGCGAATCCACCATGAAATTATATACCTAGGGAATTAAACGTTTTGTATACATGTATGAAGAGGGCATGTTTCGGTTATATTAGGGTTGGTGTTTTCATTTACACTTCATTGTACGTAAAGCTATTCAATAATATATCCAAACAAATTGGCAATGGACGAATAGGTGAATAACAGTTTGATTAAACTCCGTCTATGATCTGTTGTGTCTTTATTCCCCTTTTCTTTTTCTTGTTCCTTTCTTTCATAAAGTATTTGGACATGCCTTACATTTCCACTCCGGATATTTCTGAAGAAATCAGAATGGGCGGTACATGTAGTATGTAGACAGAGCCTAAACAATTATGGCGCTTCATGTAAAAAAAAATTACACACGTAGGTGAAAACATGAAACAGGCCAGAGTTTTATATTAAAATTTGTTTTCATGGTATCTATCTATATTTTTCATTTTAAAAAATAGCGAAATTTTACAGAAATCTTTATCCTGGAGACGTTGTACTATCACAAGTGCTTGGAACTCTTCTCCACAAACATCGTGATGGAAACGCTTACTATATCGGAATGTGGTGTGACTCCTCGGCTCGTGCTGATTATATGAACTCGATTCGTTTGTTATCGATACTGAATATTTGACAATATTTTTTATTTTATACTTCTGCCGGAAAATGTCGGTTACGAATTATCTCGCACACTACATACATCAGTGCTAGCTCGCTTCGCGCTGGTCATTTGTCTGATGAAGGTGACCGTGTAGTCATCGAAACGTCACAATTAAATCTTCTACTGCTTGTGTTATAAGATGAAGATGACTGTGTAGTCATCGAAACATCACTATTAAATCTTCTACTGGTTGTGTTATAAGATGAAGATGACTGTGTAGTCATCGAAACATCACTTTTAAATCTTCTACTGGTTGTGTTATAAGATGAAGATGACTGTGTAGTCATCGAAACGTCACTTTTAAATCTTCTACTGGTTGTGTTATAAGATGAAGGTGACGGTGTAGTCATCGAAACGTCACACTCTAATCTTCTACTGGTTGTGTTATAAGATGAAGATGACTGTGTACTCATCGAAACGTCACTATTAAATCTTCTACTGGTTGTGTTATAAGATGAAGGTGACGGTGTAGTCATCGAAACGTCACACTCTAATCTTCTACTGGTTGTGTTATAAGATGAAGGTGACCGTGTAGTCATCGAAACGTCACACTCTAATCTTCTACTGGTTGTGTTATAAGATGAAGATGACTGTGTACTCATCGAAACGTCACTATTAAATCTTCTACTGGTTGTGTTATAAGATGAAGATGACTGTGTAGTCATCGAAACGTCACTATTAAATCTTCTACTGGTTGTGTTATAAGATGAAGATGACCGTGTAGTCATCGAAACGTCACACTCTAATCTTCTACTGGTTGTGTTATAAGATGAAGATGACTGTGTAGTCATCGAAACGTCACTATTAAATCTTCTACTGGTTGTGTTATAAGATGAAGGTGACCGTGTACTCATCGAAACGTCACTATTAAATCTTCTACTGGTTGTGTTATAAGATGAAGGTGACGGTGTAGTCATCGAAACATCACACTCTAATCTTCTACTGGTTGTGTTATAAGATGAAGATGACTGTGTAGTCATCGAAACGTCACTATTAAATCTTCTACTGGTTGTGTTATAAGATGAAGATGACCGTGTAGTCATGGAGACATCACACACAAATCTTCTACTGGTTGTGTTATAAGATGAATGTGTCCATGTAGTCATCGAAACATCACACTCTAATCTTCTACTGGTTGTGTTATAAGATGAAGATGACTGTGTAGTCATCGAAACGTCACTATTAAATCTTCTACTGGTTGTGTTATAAGATGAAGATGACCGTGTAGTCATCGAAACGTCACTATTAAATCTTCTACTGGTTGTGTTATAACAACTTCTTTTCTGTTTATCTATTTCATTTCTATTGGTGTTAGACTTCTGTCAGCAGCTTATATCTCTGAAGGTGTGAGGATACCGACAGATGTCAAATATCTATAACAGCTTTTATTGGGAATAAAGCTAGGCTGTCTGAAGTGGGGAAATGAACGTAACAGAATACAGACTCCCTGTGGTGTTCAACTACAATATCTGTATAATGTTTATTTCCAGTAAAACAGCTTTTTTATAACTAAACAGAATCGTGTTATGTTAATGTAAAGTAAACATTGTAAGGTTTCCCTCTAAAGTTTACTCTAAGTAGAAAAGAAACGGATTGAAATCATGTGGTTTTACCAAAAAAGGGCCCTTGTTGTTGTCTTCCATTTTTCTCTCTCTTTCTTTCTCTCTCATTCCGTTGTTCTCGTGACTTATCCGTTCCTTTGGTTGTCTTCCATTTTTCTCTCTCTTTCTTTCTCTTTCACTCCGTTGTTCTCGTGACTTATCCGTTCTATCTCTTTCACTCCGTTGTTCTCGTGACTTATCCGTTCCTTTGGTGGTCTTCCTTTTTCTTTTTTAGTCTCTTTTTTCTTGTTGTTGTTGGTTTTTGTTCTTGTTTTCTTGATATATGTTTGTTTCCATATCTCCCCAATTCCTGGTGTGCTTTCTTCTCTTCTGCCTTGTATGCGTTTCTGATTTTCGTATATACCAAACAGAATTGGAAACCAAAGACATGACAAGCTCTTCTACAATAAAACCAACATGGACAGTTTTCTTCCTAGCTGTATAATAAGCGTGATCATTTCAATTTCCATATCGTGAATTTTCGATAACTGAATAGAATCCTACAGTGTCTATATGTTGCAGTTGATTCGATATTCAAGGATGTGTTCCCGTTATCACGATTAATGTGCAAGAAGTCGTCAGCTGACGTACAAACTCGTAATATATGGTTTCAAAAGATACAGGTTGGTGACAATTATGGGGAAGTTTTACAGTCGTCATAGTGATCTCATTGAGAAATATTCTATTTCTTTTTACGATATGAAGCTGGAAGTGTTTGATGCTCGTTAGTGTGCCTGGTGGTTCCGTTGTACGATATGAAGCTGGAAGTGTTGGATGCTCGTTAGTTTGCCTGTTGGTTCAGTTGTTGTATACCTTGTTCTCATTTCAGAGCGTGACATTACTTAGTAGGATTGACCAAGAAGCAGAAGACGCTTACTATTCCACCTGGTCTTATTCTCCTTGTAATTTTCAGGAGTTTCCGTGTATATATTTCTTTGTTTATTTGTTTATATTTTGTCTGGTTTGATTTGATTTTAGTTTGAATTATGATTACATTGACATGTTAGTATTTTTCTTTTTTCATTTAGGTCATGTTTGGATTCTAAAAGAACTAAAATATTGGTAAATCTTCACTTTTCGAAACTTTCTGTAATAAGTAATCTTTCTAAGTATAAACGGTATTCATGGAAGTATTTTTTTTTAATTTCCGTATGTCATTGTTTTGAAAACATTAACTCATTTGGAGCAGTAAATACGTCTTTATCCCCTCCTTCTTCTTCTGTTCCTCTCCCTCTCCTCCTCCTTCTTCTCTTCCTCCTCCTTATCTTCCTCCTCCTCCTCCTTCTTCTCCTCCTCTTCCTCCTCCTCCTCCTCCTCCTTCTCCTCCTCCAATCCTTCTCGCATATTCCTCCTCCTGCTGCTCCTCCTCTCCTTACCTTCTTCACTTTTTCCATCCCCTGATCCTCCTCGCCTTCCCTACTCCCCCTCCTCCAGCTCCTCCTATATCTCCCCCTCCTCCTCCTTCCTTTCTCCTCCTACATCTCTCCCTCCTCCTCCTTCCTTACCCCTCCTACATCTACCACTTCTCCTCCTTCCTTACTCCTCCTCCATCTCCCCCTTCTCCTCATTCCTTACTCCTCCTCTATCCCCAGTCCTCCTCCTTCCTTATATCCTCCTCCATTCCCCCCTCCTCCTCCTTCTTTAATCCTCCTACATCTCCCCCATCCCCTCCTCCATTACTTCTCCTCTATCTCTCCCTCCTCCTCCTTCCTCACCCCTCCTCTATCTCTCCCTCCTCCTTCTTCCTTACTCCTCCTCTATCCCCCTCCTCCTAACTCCATACTCCTCCTCTATCGCCCCCTCCTCCTCCTTCCTTATTCCTCCTACATCTCCTCCTCCTTCCTTATTCCCCCTACATCTCCTCCTCCCCCTCTTTCCTTACTCATCCTCCTTCCTTACTCCTCCTTCATCTCCTCTTCCTCCTCTTTTCATTCCTTTTTCTTTCTCCCCCTCCTCCATCTCCCCCACCTATTCTTCTCCTTCCCTACTCCTCCTCCATCTTCCCCACCTACTCCTCTCCTTCCCTACTACTCCTCCTCCATCTCCCCCACCTACTTCTCTCCTTCCCTACTCCTCCTCCATCTCCCCCATCTACTCCTCTCCTTCCCTACTACTCTTCCATCTCCTCCTACTACTCATCTCCTTCCCTACTCCTCCTCCTCCATCTCCACCACCTACTCCTCTCCTTCCCTACTCCTCCTCCTCCTCCATCTTCCCCACCTACTCCTCTCCTTCCCTAATACTCCTCCTCCATCTCCCCCACCTACTCCTCTCCTTCCCTACTCCTCCTCCTCCATCTCCCCCACCTACTCCTCTCCTTCCCTACTCCTCCTACATCTCCCCCTCCTACTCCTCTCCTTCCTTACTACTCCTCCTCCATCTCCCCCACCTACTCCTCTCCTTCCCTACTCCTCCTCCTCCATCTCCCCCACCTACTCCTCTCCTTCCCTACTCCTCCTCCATCTCCCCCACCTACTCCTCTCCTTCCCTACTCCCCCTCCATCTTCCCCACCTACTCCTCTCCTTTCCTACTACTCCTCCTCCATCTCCCCCACCTACTCCTCTCCTTCCCTACTCCTCCATCTCCCCCACCTACTCCTCTCCTTCCCTACTACTCTTCCATCTCCCCCTCCTACTTATCTCCTTCCCTACTCCTCCTCCTCAATCTCCACCACCTACTCCTCTCCTTCCCTACTCCTCCACCTCCATCTTCCCCACCTACTCCTCTCCTTCCCTACTCCTCCTCCTCCATCTCCCCCACCTACTCCTCTCCTTCCCTACTCCTCCTCCTCCATCTCCCCCACCTACTCCTCTCCTTCCCTACTCCTCCTACATCTCCCCCTCCTACTCCTCTCCTTCCTTACTCCTCCTCCTCCTCCATCTCCCCACCTACTCCTCTCCTTCCCTACTCCTCCTACATCTCCACCACCTACTCCTCCTCCATCTCCCCCATCTACTCCTCTCCTTCCTTACTACTCCTCCTCCATCTCCTCCACCTACTCCTCTCCTTCCCTACTCCTCCTCCATCTCCCCCACCTACTCCTCTCCTTCCCTACTCCTCCTCCATCTTCCCCACCTACTCCTCTCCTTCCCTACTCCTCCTTCATCTCCCCCACCTACTCCTCTCCTTCCCTACTCCTCCTCCATCTCCCCCACCTACTCCTCTCCTTCCCTACTCCTCCTTCATCTCCCCCACCTACTCCTCTCCTTCCCTACTCGTCCTATACCACCTCCTCCTCCTCCTCCTCCTCCTCAAATATATGTTAAACTAAGAGAACCATGTTTCTCTTAATAAACAACTCGATTTCGTTGCATTATAGTAAATTCATTATATATTTGTACAAGTGTGTATTATCTAATACCATTTATATAAAAAGTTTCTGACTATCACTAAATTTCAAGACATCATAGAAAGAGCATAATGATATCTGACATATTTGTCACGACCATGGTGAAACATTTAAATGAAGTATTTATCCATTCCTGCCCCTCAGAGTTTAAAACACGAGCCTCGTTTCCTTATCAATGGGATTCTGAATCTTGGAACACTTTCGGCATCAAACGTTTTAATCCAGGGAACTTATGATGGTGACCTCCCATGATGTCATGGGAAACGACGTGACCCGCTCGTGACACTGAGATCGTTTTTCCCACTCGGCAGATCTATAAGGAAGTTCATTAAGATGGAAGGTATATTTCTGAATATCTATTTTCGTCAAGGGTCCCCGGCTATCATTTCACAAAACTCTGAAAAAATAAATAGAATATAATTCATTTAGAAAGGTTATTAAACCTCTATATAAACTATGCATTTTCGAGAGCAATGTCAATGAAGTCACACAAACTAAAAAAAACATGAAACGGAAATGGAGAAGATAGCATAGAACCGGAAACATTTACCTTCGAAACTGACTTGACCATCCCCATCTTTATCAACAGCCATTATCATCAGCTTGACCTCTTCTTCGGACACTTTTTTCCCGAACTGGCGCATTACTTTCAAGAGTTCTTCCGGTCCGATTAACCCATCTCCGTCTGCATCGAAAAGCGCAAATGTTTCTTTGTCAACTTCCGGTCCAACTTCTGCATCTATCTTATTAAGCATCATTTCCTCGAACTCGTCAATTTCTACAGTTCCGTTTCCTGTGGAGTGTAGAGATGTAAATATTGAAATGGTTGATCTTTACTCAATGTAAATTGTTTTCTGTCTGTATCTTTCCCATTGCATCCTTTACCCTTTAACCAGTGCAATGAAACCTCTTCCAGATAAGTATGCAGTAATATATACAGCACGTTATTTTCTTTACAATTACCATGTTTTATTGAATAGAAATTCTATCACCATTTCATTACAGATAACAGTCTGTCTATGTCTAAACGTTTTCGATATTTCAAGACGAACTAAAATATTGGAACTAGTAAGTTGTAATTTGTAATATGAACGGTACAATTTCTATATAATTTCTACTTTGTATTATCACAGAATGACAATGCCTTCAAGAATATGTAGCTTATAGCAACATGTGACTGTTCAATGCAATGATAAAGGAAAACGATTACGATATTATGATCATCAAGAGAACCTGTACTGACCATCGGCGTCCACTTCGTTGACCATGCTGTTGAGTTCGGCCTCTGTAGCATTTTGACCCATAGCCCTGAGGACTGAAAACAGCTCCTGTGTTGTAATGGTGCCGGTCTTCTTCATGTCAAAGAAATCAAACGCTTCGGCAAATTCTGGAACGAATGGAACCGATGATACCAGTATCTTAAATATACACAATATCTACCTTGAATTAGTTTTATTATAAGGGAACTGAATATGTTACCGCCCACAATCTTATTATATTTTAGTGCTAATTGATCAGTTGCTTGCTGTCCACTTCTGAATATTTCTATAATACTCTTTACTTGCTTAACAGCTGTTGATAATGACCGTTTCCTTTATTTACAATGTACCAATACGTTGTCACTTTACAATTTGAAGAATCGCCATTGTTTTACTGAGAGACAAATTTCATATGATGATAACACGTTTTATTTTCTTTGCTCATTTTATTTTTTAGAAACATGAATATTAGTAACTTGAAACTTATCATATTGGATAGAAATACACAGACTTTACTTATATATATATCTATGTAAAATTACCCGCTAACAGTTCCTTTGGTAAAGGTGTCTCCTCCTCTTCCTCCTCCTCTCCCTCCTAAACAGAATAGTATTTCAAATTAATTAATTTCATTTGTGTACTTATGACCGCAACCAGGACTTTTAAAATCCCACATGTATATACAGATTCTCACTTAACGTAGGACAATCTTAACTTCTTTATCTTGCTAAAGATTTACAAGCTGAGAGTACAGGTCACATGACTAGTGGGAATTTACCTTTTGTCGAGCGTTAGAGTGTCCGGCTAGAGACCGAAGGGTCGCTAGTTCGAACCCCAGCGGTGGCAGGGTATTTTCCTTCCTACTTCCTATTACAATACTATGTATTTTACCAATGGAAACAATTTTAATGACAACTGTGATATTAGGATTCCAGCTTTATTTATTTTTGCTATCATCAGATATGATAACTACGTTATGGTCCAATAGCATTACCAAACAAGTAGAAACTGACAGTGAACCTTTATTGACTATATAGCTCCATACAAGGTAAAAACTAAAACTCTTGGATTTTTGAAAATACAGCCAATATTGTCATACAAATAAACCACACTAGTTATTTTACACGTTATTGGAATCGGCTTCACGATATCATGGTTATGTTTGCTATTCGAAAAAAAAGGTAATATCGCCCTATTCAACTTGTAAACGATATCAGAAATATTGACAAGAGCAGTATGAACGTACCATTTTGTGATAATTTCCGGTCTTCCCTGGCAACGGAGCTCGCTACAGTAGACGTGAAATATTTACCAACTGATAAAACTGAATCAATTAAAGAGGTATCGAATTAGCACGTTAACGAGTTATAAATGATAAATCTAAGGGTGTTCCGAGAGTATATTAATCTCTATTAAATCTCTCTAATGGCGTTGGCCAATTGAAGTTATATAAAAGAATTGGAGATTATTGATTTCAGTGGATAGTCCTTTGTTTTATATCGACTTAATCTATTTGTTTGATACCCGTAGAACTGAAATGTATCGTCACGTAAGAATACATTTCAATGGGGAGGGATCAGTTTAATTCCACAATGGGTTATAATTATCGCTTTACACGACTATGTTCACGCAATACTTTATTCATGGTTCATTATAAACAATATCTCAAGTAGATTTTTTTATTCGTCCTCTGTACTTGTGTGTGATAATTTTACATAAACCAACTACCAATACCAGCGTCACTTAGTAACATTAAACATAAGTATAGACACGACAAGCAATTAATCGTTAAATAGCTTGTTCCCGGACAATCAGTCCCACGGTGTGATCAAAACACACGACTTAGTTTCTGTATTTTATTTTCTCTACTTTAGAAATAACTTTTTTAATCTTAAAAATTTCTTGATTTTAGTCTGTGTGTTAAACGTCCGTCCAAGCGAGGTAGGTTAAGTGCTGTAACGTCCATTACTGTGAGTGACGACATCGTCTATACCAGTTGCGGAGTCTCCCATTCCTGTAATCTTTGTTACAGAATGTCAGCCATGCACTGAGCTAAACCGATCTCGAAAACAGTTCAAATGACGGCTGATTTGTCCTGAAGAAAACAAAACGTGTCACTACGGTTGCCAATTTCTGACATTCCAGTGAGATGACACTTTAAAACTTCCCTGAATGTCACAATCAGTCATGGACATCGCCTCCCTATGACTTTGGCTGTTGACAAATTATTGTCGTTGTCTGTTAGTACTTATTGCTATTGTTTCAAAGTTGTCTCCTCGTCATGTCACTTTCATCGTTTCATCGCACCATTTTACCTCATCGTCTCGTCATTGTCTCATCTTTATCTAATATCGTCTTAGGTTTTCGTCACGTTCACAAACAGACGGCACTACGTCTTTTTATTTTATTTATCAATTTATTTATTTATTTGTTCGGAGTAAAAACTTTTTAAAGTACTTGTAATTATGTGTAACACGCACAGTGATTATTACCGATAAATGTTCAATAGAATCCAAACAAGACAACGCCAGTTGGATTAAATATCACGGGAACTTAACAGTGCCAACAGTTATGATGATTGAACAAGATATATATAGATGAAAGTATAAACCAATCTCATTCTTGTAATTCCGGGAGTTTTGATAGCTATTAAACGTTCAAACAAAATTTTCACTTCAAACATTTTCATATCCTTAGTGTACAACGACCATTTCTATATCAGTATACTATTAGTTTATATATAAGCATTTATATGTGTGTGTGTATATAGGTGTGTATATACAGCGTAACAGTGTGTCGCATTGCAGGTATCTATTTATAGAATATACACGCGTGTACTACTTAATGTGCGTACTACGAACACATAACGTCTTAAAACATATTTTTGTAGAATGGTTACACCTTCTTTGTGAATATTAGCAAACCCGCTTACATTGTAAATATTTAAAAAAAAATATGTGTGTATTGACATTCGCATTATACTTGATGAAATCCTCCTTGGAATGTGGGGCCGAGACGAGTTTAAGGGGAGGTAAATCCTACATTCCAAGTATCAAGTCACCACAAGATTCTATTTAAGGTTCCGGGCGATATATTTTGAATGCGAGACAGAATAGATATTGTGGGAGCACTATGTGGCATTTGATCATCGAATGTGTAATATTTGTTTCATTTGTGTTTCATGCAATGATCGCTATAACATCTGAAAACAAATAAACAAACAAAAACATACACAATTAAACAATTATACCATTTTTTGACAGGCAGTTGTCTCTTGTAATGCAGTCTTCGATGGCTGTTCAGACATATGCTTGAAATAAAGAAAAAAAAAAAAAAACTAGCTCATTTGTCCAAGGGTCAATAAGGTTTAAGCCATGTATGTACAAAGTGTATGCTTATGTGTAAATAAGATAAGAATCTTCGAGGACCAACTTGAATTTATCCGCATAAAATATCATTAACACAATGTAAACAAAAATAGCATCATATTGCGTCAATTCTTTATAAAATCTGAGCTTATAGTGAGAGCTTGGCATAAATTTTGAAACTGTTGTGATGAAATTAAGGGGACGCAACTCCGTCTGGTCCATTTCTCGCCTTCTCCGACAAAAGTTTTTAACACAAATCCCATCAAAACGGATAACTTGTCCACAATTGTGTTCACGTATATTCAACACATTGCTCATGCTATCAAACTCTTCGCGTTGCTTACGTATACAGTCACGGAGTTTCAAATAATCAATACAGAACATATTAACATGTTTTGAAATAACAAAAGAAACAAGTCCATGCCGAAATGAAGGCAAATGAATGTTATGGACGAAGGGTTTGGCGCGTGCGTAGTGACGTAATGAACAATATGACGTCAGTGTTTTCACTCACTTCACGCTGGGTCCATCATTACCATGGCGTAAAACTCTGCAAAATACAATTGTAACATTTGTTATTACTCAGAAATGCAGATATAAATCGCCATTAAGGATATGTATTCCAATTACAACAATAATTTATCATGATGATCCTGAAAATTTTCATGTAAGCAAGTTTACTAATCACTGCGTTAGTAAAATATGAAACAGAAAATTAACAAGGGGGATAACTCAAACCAAAATTTATAGCATACACCCTTAATATGAAGTTTTCTACTTTTACCTTTGTAGTTGACTTTGCCGTCGCCATCTTTGTCCGCTTCTCGAATCATGGCCTCCACTTCGACCTCTGTGAGTCGTTCTCCCATCATGGCCATCACCTCCTTAAGTTCCCTAGGACCGATAAAGCCGTCGCCATTTTTGTCAAATATCGTGAATGCCTCTCTGAGCTCTACATCTAATTCTGTTTCATGGATTTTGTTCATCATCATCTCCACAAACTCCTCGAACTCAATAGAACCACTTCCTGTGTAAAACAAGCGAGCAAGCAACGATGCATGATATGGACACAATACTATTTAATCACGTGATATAAGTTTATTATCTATTAAACGTTGACATGAAAGTAACTTTCAAAATCATCTCTGATGAATTTTTAATTGCTTCGTTTCGCTATCAGAAAAAAAAATTAATTATTTCTGTGATGACATCAGGTAATAAAACGAATAAGACACCAGAAAAGTATTACATTACAGTAAAAGTGTAAAAAAAAATCTAAGTCACGTGACACTTACCATCCTCGTCGACCTCGTCCACCATGTGCCTGAGTTCGGTTTCCGACGGTTCCTGTCCCATGTTTCGGAGAACATCTCCCAACTCTTTGGTTGTAACACTGCCTGTCTTATTGATGTCAAACATGTTGAAGGCTTCCCTGAACTCTATACATAGAATAGGACACAAACATTATATAAAAGGCAATGTTTAACAAGAGAACTTTGTCTTGTCTCTCCAATTAGCATCACTTTAAAAGATTGGAGTCTATTTTTTGAATGCTTTTTATTCTTTCTGCCAAGTGTCTATATCTTACACTAAGTCTATATGATATATATATATATATATTAAATATGATAGAATAAACACAATGCCAGTTTCCCGAATATAATACAAGTAAAGATATGATAAACTAATTTATAGAATATTTCCACAGCATCCTAAATGAACGAACCAATTACAGCGCTGACAGAATAATAATAGAGATGGTTGGTATAAAAACAAATTCAACCAGAAAATATTAACCACGGTGTATATAGTACAACATCAAAGTTCGATATGATCTTACCAGCAAGATTATAAATTGAGCAAATGTTAGTTACCTGTAAGTTGGGCTTTGGTCGGGGGAGGCCATCGAGCCGACTGGAAACAGAAAATAGGAAACATATTTCTATAGATGTAGTAATAGAATTTGAAGAAACAAACGATATAGCATTTACTATATGTAAATATGTACACGGAGACTCCTGAAAACTACAAAGAGAACCAGGTGTTTCGCAAGAATAAGCGTCTTCTGTTTCATTGACAACACCCGCCATATAATGTCACATTCTCAGGTGAAAAGATATGCAACAACGGAACAAAAATGTTTCTGTATTGTATGATGTGTTTGTGTATTGTATGATGTGTTTGTGTCTTGTATGATGTGTTTGTGTCTTGTATGATGTGTTTGTGTATTGTATGATGTGTTTGTGTCTTGTATGATGTGTTTGTGTATTGTATGATGTGTATGTGTATTGTGTGATGTGTTTGTGTATTGTATGATGTGTTTGTGTATTGTATGATGTGTTTGTGTATTGTGTGATGTGTTTGTGTATTGTATAATGTATTTGTGTATTGTATGATGTGTTTGTGTATTGTGTGATGTGTTTGTGTATTGTATAATGTATTTGTGTATTGTATGATGTGTTTGTGTATTGTATGATGTGTTTGTGTATTGTATGATGTGTTTGTGTATTGTGTGATGTGTTTGTGTATTGTATAATGTATTTGTGTATTGTATGATGTGTTTGTGTATTGTGTGATGTGTTTGTGTATTGTATAATGTATTTGTGTATTGTATGATGTGTTTGTGTATTGTATGATGTGTTTGTGTATTGTGTGATGTGTTTGTGTATTGTATAATGTATTTGTGTATTGTATGATGTGTTTGTGTATTGTGTGATGTGTTTGTGTATTGTATAATGTATTTGTGTATTGTATGATGTGTTTGTGTATTGTGTGATGTGTTTGTGTATTGTATAATGTATTTGTGTATTGTATGATGTGTTTCTGTATTGTTTGATGTGTTTGTGTATTGTTTGATGTGTTTGTGTATTGTTTGATGTGTTTGTGTATTGTATGATGTGTTTGTGTATTGTATGATGTGTTTGTGTATTGTATGATGTGTATGTGTCTTGTATGATGTGTTTGTGTATTGTATGATGTGTTTGAGTATTGTATGATGTGTTTGTGTATTGAATTATATGTTTGTGTATTGTATGATGTATTTGTGTATTGTATGATGTGTTTGAGTATTGTATGATGTGTTTGTGTATTGAATTATATGTTTGTGTATTGTGTGATGTGTTTGTGTATTGTATAATGTATTTGTGTATTGTATGATGTGTTTCTGTATTGTTTGATGTGTTTGTGTATTGTTTGATGTGTTTGTGTATTGTTTGATGTGTTTGTGTATTGTATGATGTGTTTGTGTATTGTTTGATGTGTTTGTGTATTGTATGATGTGTTTGTGTATTGTATGATGTGTTTGTGTATTGTATGATGTGTTTGTGTATTGTGTGATGTGTTTGTGTATTGTGTGATGTGTTTGTGTATTGTGTGATGTGTTTGTGTATTGTATGATGTGTTTGTGTATTGTGTGATGTGTTTGTGTATTGTATGATGTGTTTGTGTATTGTATGATGTATTTGTGTATTGTATGATGTGTTTGAGTATTGTATGATGTGTTTGTGTATTGAATTATATGTTTGTGTATTGTATGATGTGTTTGTGTATTGTATGATGTGTTTGTGTATTGTATGATGTGTTTGTGTATTGTATGACGTATTTGTGTATTGAATTATATGTTTGTGTATTGTATGATGTGTTTGTGTATTGAATTATATGTTTGTGTATTGTATGATGTGTTTGTGTATTGTATGATGTGTTTGAGTATTGTGTGATGTGTTTGTGTATTGTATGATGTATTTGTGTATTGTATGATGTGCTTATGTATTTTATGGTGTGACGAATCATTGCAGAGACTAAACAAAGCATACATATATAATAGCTACCAACATTTGGTATACATATCACCGATAAATTCCTAATGCTGCACGTGACTTCAATGAAATTGATATTGATATATCTGGTATCAATTGATTAAAATAAATGTCAACTTTTTATTTAAACTACGACACGACTCTAAAAGGTTCGGTAGTATTCGACACAAACAATTAACCCGGACTAACATTTTCAATGTTTGTATAACGTTGATATCTAAAAGCAAATTGATTGTAATCGTAACTTCAGTGTTTGGCATTTTTAGCGACTCATTCAAACCTAAGGACCAAATGAAAGTAATTTCGATGAATCTAACCCTTCCATTATTGGAAACTAACAATGGACCTATGTTTTGATATAAGGTTCCAATGTTTTAATCTAATCCCTAAAGAACAGAGGGAATTTTCATGTGTAAATTTAAGATTTTTGAAACACTTTTCAATTAAGATGTATTTCAGATTTGTATGATGTTTGCTGGTGAACACATAAAATTTATTTTAAAAGCAATCCACGTAGAGCTTCTTAATAGATATACAATGTTTAGATCAATGGGTTAAATGTCTAAATTAATTTATCATTAAACCAAAATTAAAACGTCAACAAACAATCAAACAATCAACAACAAAAAACAAAGAAAAAAAAACAAAAACAAAAACAAAAAACAAAGCAAAGACAAAAAACAAAAAAAACAAAGAAATAGATTTGACACAAACTCTAGCGTGTTTTACTTACCATGTTTTTGTCGCAAGTCAGCCACAAATCCAGCCACACTCACAGTACTGCTATCAAATATCACATAAAAGTCTTCAATATAGGTATTGATGACGTCACAGCCACACGGGTGCTGTTGTAGGCCCCTTAAGGACTGCAGAGTGTGGGATACTACTGTATAGCTGATCTTGAGATCACACAGGTTATTCAGTCACGACAAACATTTTTTTGTATATGACGGCTTCCGTCATGTCATTCCATTGATAGAATGAATTAAAGTCGGTTTGTTCTCAACAATGGTCCGATAATACGATACAGCTACACACGGTCAATGTGACTGTTCATTGTTATAGATGTGTAAATATACATCATACAATTCTTTAAAGGACTAGTCATTTAAAACAATGGCCAGAACGCATTGTCTTCCCAGTAATCACCGAGGCTTGTAGATTTTAACTCGAAGTAACCCGAATTGTAATTAAATTAAAGCTCATGAACAGTTGCGTAATATCAGCCCGAGTAAGGATTTGTGTAACTAAGAGATGGTAGGTTTGGGTGGTGCCTCAGAGGTGTTGGTGCCGGTAGGATGGGAATTGCGTTGTAGTACCACAGCTCTATATGTCTCCTGTCCTTTGTTTGATGGGGTAGAATATCTGATAAAGACAAGAACCAATTGTAACTCCCGAATACAATTAACTTAATAAACTGAAAATCCAACACCTGTGGTGGAAGTTTCTTCAATTGTGATTGAAAAAGCTATTTTACAGCTAGAAATTTCTAATGTTTTTATATTTGCTTTTAAATACGCCTACAGATTAAAAATATATTGTCTGGCTTTGAGGAGAAGTTATTGCTATTCTGTACAGGTTCGTTATACTGCCGCTGTTGTTCTTTGTTATTTTCACATTATATCTCATAAGGTATAAAAAAAAATATGATGCTTTATCAAAGATAAAATAATGTATAAAGAAATAAATATTATGCTTTATCAAAGATAAAATAATGTATAAAGAAATAAATATGATGCTTTATCAAAGATAAAATAATGTATAAAGAAATAAAGTCGATGCTTTATCAAAGATAATATAATGTATAAAGAAATAAATATGATGCTTTATCAAAGATAAAATAATGTATAAAGAAATAAATATGATGCTTTATCAAAGATAAAATAATGTATAAAGAAATAAATTCGATGCTTTATCAAAGATAAAATAATGTATAAAGAAATAAATATGATGCTTTATCAAAGATAAAATAATGTATAAAGAAATAAATTCGATGCTTTATCAAAGATAAAATAATGTATAAAGAAATAAATTCGATGCTTTATCAAAGATAAAATAATGTATAAAGAAATAAATTCGATGCTTTATCAAAGATAAAATAATGTATAAAGAAATAAATATGATGCTTTATCAAAGATAAAATAATGTATAAAGAAATAAATATGATGCTTTATCAAAGATAAAATAATGTATAAAGAAATAAATTCGATGCTTTATAAAAGATAATATAATGTATAAAGAAATAAATTCGATGCTTTATCAAAGATAAAATAATGTATAAAGAAATAAATATGATGCTTTATCAAAGATAAAATAATGTATAAAGAAATAAATTCGATGCTTTATCAAAGATGACATAAGGAACTTTAACATAAAAAGTAACTTTGGAAAGTGGAAAAGAAACATTTATCGAGCTGACAATGAAAACAACTGGACAAGAACGGAGAGTTAGTAAAACATCGGTATCCGTGTTGTGTAGCCAACGTTGTCTAAGCCCCTGGGGAATGTTTATCGTGTATTACACACAGAGCATACTTTCCGCATTAGGTGTTTGCACAACAAACCACACTCGATAAGATATAACATTGGATTAAAGGGGAATAACTCGTGTGAATTGACAAACAGTAAACAGTTCACAACTGTAGCGTACAGAAAATATGTTATAATTCAGTTAGAAATAATCTGCGGAAGTAAAACTTTGCTTCTCGAACAAAATTGCAACTACGGAACAGTCGTGTAGTTAAATGTTTAAGACTAAATACGCTACACACCTATGACTTTTACGTTAACTTTGCTAAAATGTACATTTTGTCAAATTCACACTTCACAGTATCATTATGTAACTTTAACTGGATAATATCTTAACCCGGGTAATTCAAGAAAGCAATAGTTTCCATGTCACCTTTTTATCTAAATGGCCTGGTTTCTTTACCAAACTGTCTCTACTCAGCATATTTCGCCTCCCACTCCCCCAACATGTAAAGATTATTATACATTTTTGATTGAGATATTATAAATGCGCGCTCTGAGAGCAATGCATACATTTGATGAGCTAAGTCATTTGACAAGTGATTCGTTTGACATTTCGCAAAGGACAAAATTTCTTTCGTTTGTTTAAAAATT